GTGATGGTGGAGGGTAGGAAGTACGAATGCCGAGCTGCAAGTACATGAACACGTGCATTACTTTGAATGGATGCAGCTGGTGAGCATGGTATAAAAGGCGACACAGCTCAGCACGGAAGTTAGTATCGAGCAGAGCATGTAGACCTGCAAAGGAAATGAGATTTGGGTGTTGACCTCAATATGAGAAGCCGTGTGATTGGTCGGCTGTGCTCGTGCCGCAATGTGAGAGGCCGTGTGCTTGGTCGTCTGTGGTGCCTCAATGTGGCCAGTCGTGGGGTTGGCCATCTCTGTGGTAGACGGAAATCAGGACTGTCTTTGTGCGTGGACTGTACTTTATGAAGAATTATCCAAATCTCTTCGAATTGGAGGAATTAGCTGATGGTGTGCAAGCTCGCCTCTCGTACTTTCCTGCTTCTAACGCTAAATAAATGCTATTGATTCCAATTGTTGTAAGCATTTACTAAATGAGTGTCTAAGCATTGCATTAAAAATATGCAATTTGCTAAACAATGTTCTGGCAAGTCCCGTCTTGTTGCACTTTTGTGATTATTTGGTATACTTCCTAAATCCGGTTGCCTGATTGTCTAATGATTTTTGTAAAAATAACCAACTCTTTATTCCAAAAATAATGCAAAACCTCGGCGCTATCAAAGGTAAGATAAAACAAATACTTCCAAAGTCGACGTTGATGCACATGGTGTCGAAACTGATGGCAAGCCTTTGGTTAGGCACGTGAATAATACAGCGATGATTATTTGCCATGCTTTTATTGCTCAACACTCAAAAACACGAAATTTCGCATGATTTATTTTTTTGCGCAAGTGCGGGATATAAAGACAGCAATAAGTGCTATTCGCTACCTGAGGTATCTTAGTTAAGTAAAGGTGGAAAAATGGCGAAAAAATTCCTTTGGTATATTTGCAGCACAAGTTAATTAAACAATTACGAAGTGCTCAACATTAAAAAGCTTGGCGTTAAAAGGCAATGCTAGGTAGTGCCTAGAATTGCTCAAAATTTTCGCCCCTACGTTGCAAAAAAAGAAACATTGCCCTAAACACATTTTGCTGACCAGATCTTCACACTAATGCGAGTCTGTTGCCAAATAGGCCCCAATCATCTATCATTCAATCCGCTGGGGAAAAGCTACAGACACTTTTGTCATTTGGCTGGGTTTATACAAGTTTACTTGATGGCCATCTACCAAGGCTTGTTTGTTCATCAGGAAGCTAAACACTTAGGCTAACCTACAGAGGTGTTTGCGCAACTCACTGGCGCAAGTAAGGACCTAGTTTACCATCAACTCGCGTTTCCTAAGTTCCTGGTTGAGATCTTTATAGCAACCTTCATGGTTCAATGATAATTTCTCCATTTATGACCTTCTAGGTTTTTTACGATTTATTGCTGGAGTAGAGGCGGATGATGTTTGTTTTAGGTATGTATGAAATGAGGACAAACACGTCAAGACGAGGATTTTGGCCTTATAAGAGAATATAAGTAACAGTTTTTATTCAGATTTATTCTACCCTTAAAAGACATTTGCCACTACGTGCGATGGACACGAGATAGGCTCTAGATTTTGAAGGCTTTTACGTATGCCTGAACGATTCAAATAATACGGTTTTGTTGCTTTTTACGAGTTTGGCGAGAAGTGACCAACCCAAACTTCGCCTCTTGATGATGTTATTCATTAAATCTTCTTCTTTTTTGTCGCAACTGTTAGTCAGCTCAGTTTAGCGTCAAACGCTTCCGCATTGCTTCGAGGTGCATAACTCGAGTGTCGGAATCTAAGAGGATCCCAAAGTATTGCATGCACTCAAAAAGTATGCCGCATATAACCGGTTCAAAAATTAATGATCTGGGCCTGCTATTAGACCCTCAAAATGGTAAACATAAAGGGAATGATACTAACAAGCATCCCTCATAGCTTTTACCACTTTTACCTTGTACATGGGAGCCTTGGTTTAAGGAAATGGAAGTGCCTCTACATTCGTTTTCTAAGTGAGGACCATCTCACTTAAATTAGGGGATTAAACGTGTGCACTCAAACGCACACGTCAAGACGTCTGCAGGTGCTGAAGTAAGAAAGCCACGCAATGATGAAACATACTCTTTGACACCATAGTGCTTCCATATTTGCATGATGGTAAAAACATCAAGTGGCATATCTTCGTCATGTAATTAGAGTACAGCCGAAATTAATACCTGGTGCGTTCATTCTATGTACTGTATTTCCATTTCAGAGTGGACGCAATATATTATGCTGTTGTAGTCTAGGTGAGCACACTATTTGATTAAGGACAACTGCCACCCCATAGTTAAGGGCTACCCAAGTGATATGCATTGACCTCTCTCAGTGGCCAATTTGTTGTCAGCTCCATTCCCCATCAAGAGATTGATCAACCAGAATCGAAAGAGATGTGAGGAAAAGTCGTGGTAGATCACTGGTAGCGCCAGTTCAAATAGCTACACTTTTGCTGACCATCCACTTCCCTCAGCGATGAGCTAGCGGCACACAACATTCAACTCCATATATGGATAACAATGGATGGAAATAATCCAACACGGCTGCGAACCTGTTCAAGCAGCCTATGCTTGAAATTTTGAAGCAATTTAAGTCAATCTTACATTGCATTATCCCTATTGCCTCCATACAAACTAGAAATGAAAAAAACGAAAACAAGCGTCATATATTTTGAGCTTACTTATTTACAGACGAAATACTCTAATGCATCTTTAATTTAACAGCAACGACTTTCCGAATCGACATTGAGAGTCCTTGGTTTCTCTAAATGCCATTAAGACAAACCGTTACATCATTTTCCTCAAGACCCTTTGGTTAACATCAAATCCGCTGCAGTCAAATTAGCAAATACCGGGAGTTAATAAATGTTAAGGGTTTAAAATGAATTTCGACTTGCATTTTGTTTGCCAGACGGGATCTTGCAATGGATTTGAGGCAGCCTCTAAAATAAACCTAATCGTCACAAAGAAACAACTCAGCTAAGGACGACGACTAACATCATCATCTTAACTGGTGTGAAAATGATTAAAGAGTTGAAACAAGGAAGTCCATCCTGGTAAAGCTCACTCTCATTGTCTTATGTGAGACCAACTTGTCCTAATTTCTATGTAATCATGCGTTTTTTGGGCATGTTGCATCTGTAGAGGCATATTTTAAATGTCAAAATAGATGACATTTTATTTCTTCTCTTAAAATAGCTTTAATTTTGGTTATCCTTTCTACCCAGGGAGCAAACTCTGCCACCTTATGGGCTATTCGCCCCAGAAAGATGCACCAAAATCAGAGTACAGCAAAGTGGACAAATCGCATGCATACCTTTACCTCACAGGATCTACCACACCTGAAGTGGAAAGATAAAGACAATGAAAAATCTGCCTTAAGTAACAGGCAGAGGAGGGAATGGATGTACTAATTGCAGCAGTGGATTACATCGGAGGGTAAATGCAATTCCTACATGCGGTTGCTTCGAATGTAGTAGTTCAATACAAATTTTACTCTAATAATTGAAATATAGAATATTTAGCATAAAACCTGCTCACAACCGGTCGGTGAAGTGAAGTGATATCATGTCAAATGCATATCATTTTGCATGGGGATAGTGGCACAAAGCTGATCATTTAATTAAACATGGAATTTCAAGTGCTATCAATCAGTTTATTAATGGAACCACATTCTCCTTCCTGCTCTTTCACTAACTGCTTACGATTGCTGCTTCGATCACATAAGGGCCACGCAGAACCGGACACTTAATCACTTAGTAGGTAACTGCTAATAACAATCAGAACTAGTAGCATTTAATTTGAGTTAAAGGTATCTAGTTCCTTCAAACCTAAGAAAGTTTGGGCCTTCTTCATAACCTTCAATGCAGACACAAAAGCTGAGTCGAATTTGCTGTCTACTACCGAGAATACCATCCCCACTGAGTCACTGATGAGTCTAGTGACAAAAGTGGAGACCTTAGCTACGGATGATAATGTGATAGATGCCCATTCCACCTAAAAGGGTGGCAGACGCCACCTTTCTGCGTGTTTAACGAGGGGTTTGATGCCGGAAAGTTAGATAGGTCACAGTTGGGATCCTCCCTCACCACTCAATGTTTCCGTCATCGGACCATGCACAACAGTGTTAGCCCAGCAGACTGTACTCCGAAAGAATGTCATAAATGAGCCCTGAGAAAATGTGGAAAAATGGACGATTAGGAGTTGGTAGAAGAAGCAGAACGAGGGCTGAGTGATGTAGGAAGAAAGGGGTAGGTACCTATTTCTACGATAAAAACCTTGGGAGACCATTTTGCTGATAGCAGGCTGTATTCTGTAGAGCTCATAAAGTAGGAGGTAGTGGACATCAAAGGAGGAACAATGATAGTACTGCTGACCATTGCAATGGCGGACGGCGATTGGATTAGGGAAGGAAGTGGAGGCAGATGAATCGGCAAAGTCAGAGGACGGTAGATGATTGCCAGTT